CTCTCTCTCTCTCTCTCTCTCTCTCTCTCCCTCTCTCTCTCCAGGCATCAACATGTACGTGTATAACCTGTACATTTCTATCTGTCCACAGCTGTGAGAAGCGAGGTCGGTGCACGGACGTCAAAAGTAATGGACAGTTTGACAACATCTGCGGCCCAAAGGTCACTGGTAAGTCGGAGAAGATAATTCAAAACTCCGTGTTTTTGCTGTAATTTTGCCAGATTGCCATTCAGTTCAATGATATTTGTTTCATCATAAACATAAATCACGCTGTGTGGGTGGTTGGCGGGTGCTCTGGTGTGGTTCGCTTCTTCTTTCCTATCAAACATCTATCGTCTTTATCTCCCCTCCTTCTTCTTTGTGTTTGTTTCTCTCTTGTAACCCTTCTAATCTTCGGCACTTATATGACCTTATTGTGTTGCAAGTGCCGTAAAACTCTAACGAAAACGAAAATTACACTGAGTTATAGTTTTCTTCATCTTGCCCCTGGGGGTATTTTTGGGGATGTTTGGATCGGGGGGGGGGGTGTCTAATTAAATAATTATAGATACCATTTGTATAGCGCAAATCCCCGCTCAACAGCAAGCTCTATGCGCTTCACAATCTATACTATCACCCCAGCAGACCTAAGAGCATTCTGAAACAACCTCAACTTCCTGGGAAGCATACAGTACAAGCGGCCCTTTATAGGCGGTAAAACACTAACATACTGACAAGATCTTTCGATGTCTATGTCCGGATATCCATTCCCACCTGGGTGAAGTGAGGAAAATTCGTGTAAAGTGTCTTTCCCAAAGACACAACGTCGGGCCCGCGGCTCGAACCCTCGAACCTGCAACCTCACGATTACGAGTCCGGTAGCCTAACCCTAACCCCTAGGCCACCGACGCCACAAATGTTGAAATAACCGTGTATTGTTGGAGGGTGCCTCAAAACATGTTCTACTACCACGGTCTTTGGTGCCACTGTTAGACTTCGACTTAGAGTGACTTACCTGGACTAGATCAAGTAAAGCAGAGACTGGAGTTCCCTAGCAATGCTTAGAAAGCAGTGTAAATCGCGTCGTTTTGCTGAGGCGTATTCTTAGTTTTAGTTTTCTTACCGTCTTGATCAATGCATTGAAGGAACGCTGTAGAGAGTGGGGGGTTGGGACGAGATAGCTAGAGAGAGAGAGAGAGACAGAGAGGGGAGAG